AACCGCTGACTGACACGAATGTTAACTAGCATAGCTGCATTCGTCACAAGTGGGAAAATTTAAATCTGCATGGCGCTTTACTCCAATTGGCTCGTTCGCTTGCTTAAACTCAACGTTGATTCTGATTCCGCAGAACTGTGTTGGGTGTGAAAAATATTTGTTGTTAACATTCTTTTTTCATTCGGTTTTTCCAGTTACGAGTCCTTTTTTTTAAAGTTGATCGTTTTGTGTTCATTTTGTTTAGTTCTTTTTTCGTAACAGATTTAATGTTTAGTATCGAGCTTAGAAAAAAATCGCAGTGTGAGATAGGCAAGAAGTAAGGCATGTACCAACATCAGCACGGCAAAGGGCACTCCTTTAAAGCAAGGAAGGGCAAAAATATTTTTAGTCAAGTGATAGCGATTGCTGTATGAGTCGTACGATTTTTGAATCAAGCACGGGCAATGCCGGGTCATGCTGCTAGTTAGTATCTATAAATCCTTTAAATCGATATAATGGCCCGAAATCGTTTTTAGACTTACAACCCCATATTATGATACTCATACGTGTTGAACTGTTGTTCTAAATTATTGCCTATTTTACACTGCGACTATCTTTTCGACTAACGTATCTCTGGTCAGGAAAACTGATGATGTGAAATTTCAATTCATCTTCCTTTATCAATTTTGACCACGTTTCTAATCTGTAATCCTTATGCTCCTTGTAGAATTGGACGCAAGTGATTTCCATAAATACAAATTAATTTAGGCAAATTTTGTCGTGATCACACATTTTTTTCATGTTTAGCTTATATCATCTATGACATCTATCATTATCTTATTGCTCAGCGAAAATCGCTGAATATAGCGATCATTTTACAGGGAGCTATTCTCGGTTGTGATCTATGACAATACAAACAGCGACCAGGTGTGTTGCACATCTATATGGCCTTGTATGCGACACAGTTGTGCATTCAACTACATAGGTTATTGCATTGTACGACGGCTTATGTATTTGCCCTATCTTCGTCCTATTTTCTGTTGACAAATTATTCAGTCTAAAAGAAAATATCTTATTTCAACTGATCTAAAGTGTCAGTATTCATTTACAATTGTCTTAGATTAAAGTGATGGCGATGTTTATAAGAATATCCTTGAAAAGGAATGTATTACTATGCACTAATGAGCCAACACATTATAACCAGTGGAATGAATGACAGTTCAATAAATGCTGTTAATACCACATGTCACTCACGAGTATGTAAACGGCGAAGCTGGCCTTGAGTACTTTTTGCCTCTATTATGAGCAAGAAAAATGTGAATGAGTTCTGTAAAGGTCAGATGATTACAACCAGAAGACAAGAACATTCTAGAAACTGAAATTTACAGGATACTTCCTTTAATGTATTGTGAGTACCCAGCAGCTGTAAGCTAGGGAAAGAAAAATCAACAATCGCTCTCAAAGTTTGAAATATCCAAAATGTGTCATAAGTTATCAGATACCTTTGCCGCCGAATACGAAGCAAGAGTGGGGCTACTCTGACACAAATTGAATAATTACTTTAATCAAGCAAAAGTAAGAAATACATCACTACACACACAATCTTTGTCCTTATTGTTACCCAAATATAGCCAGTGCCAAGTCATATTACCATGGCTGCATCAATGAAAGCATGAACAATTTGCATGCGTGAATCGGAATTCGACATTATATCACAAGAAGGTCAATTGGTCCAGTGCGTTTTGCTTTCTCCTGAATAGGTGGATGTCATGAAACAGATAGGTTGTTATCCACGGGAAATGATATTAGGAGACACTTTTTAAAACGCTAGACTACTTACCCCAACATCATTGAAGGACATTTTTTTACAGTAAGTTTCACCCTACACAAGATCCGGAGGCTACTATTGGTAGAGGGTTACAATAAAGGCTAGTTTATATGGACAGTAAGGAAAGATAACGGTTGACTCTCGACTTCAACAAGTTAAGATTGTAGTTATCGGGGGGAACATCCTCTTGGGAGTCTGTGCTATATGGCAGTGGTTCGCGGGAAGAGGCTGTTTCAGTGGAACTTAATTCTCGCCGATGAAATGTGGTGGGAATGTAGATGATTTGCTATTATGTAAATGGTATGGCGGATCCTAGTAGGGAAGGTCAGACCTGCTGGAACCAGGAGATGCAATTCTTTCGAGCACTTTCCATGGTAGTAGCAACAGAGCCTGTAAAAGACAGGTTGGCGTTTGGGAAAAATAATTCTCTACCAAGGACTCAGAGACGCTTCTGAACTCTATCAAGACTGAGAAGTGATGCCTTGTCAACTCCTGCTCAAATATGGCAACAGAACACCTTTTGGGGCCTGATCTGGATCTTATCCAGGTAGAGGATAGCATGTGGAGTCAGGTACTTACTGGTATGGTACAGGGAGCTGATCATTTTACCTGCATCTTTAGCGATGGATCGTATATAGAAATTCCGCTTGAGGTCGGGTGTGAGTCTGAGGTCCAATATCCTCTCAAGGCACA